CTGCAGGCTTTCGATCCTTCCTCATTTCCCCCAAGATTTTATTAAAAGTGACTTTGGTAACTTTCAGAACTATCTATTATCTTTCAAAACCAAGGGAAGTTGATTCTGGAATAGCCTCTCAATTTCAGGGACAGAACTTAAAATGAGCTGTAGAATCGAGCCAGCTAGTCCTGGAAGTTTGGGAGAAAGAAGGCTGCCAGTCAAATAACCCTGATCACTTCCCCGGAGTTTTGCTGCCAAGTTCTGGACTAGTAGTCAGTGCCCGAGGAGACCCAGAGGGAACTTGGCTCAGAGGGTGATGATCTATTAGTCCCTGTGCTAGGAGTCTGGCCCTGGAGACAGGACCAAGTCCCGTCTCTGTGGGACTGGAATAACACATCATCCAAACTTTGTTCCCATGGCTAAGAACAACACAAGTTACTCTGCCCACTTCCTCCAATTCAGTTCTGCCAGGCAGCAGGAGAGAGAGAATGCTGGGGGAGGTGGGGAGGGGATGAGTTTTAGTATTCTTTAAAAATTAAAAATATTAAACACGTTAAATTATTAACAAATATTGAAAATTAAAAATAATCCAGAATTAAAAATCTGTATTTGTAATGAGCTTTAAATATTGAAAACCGCAGACCTCGGGGGGTCAGCCTTGTTCATTTCACATTCTGTGAACTCCCCTGCTGCTGTGTTAACACCTGCCCACACATACTGGAAATTCAGCGGAAGGAAGACCCGCCTCACTCAGGCCCAGATGTGAAGGGGAGCCTGCTGGGAGGGCAACAGGAGGGTGGCTGCCAAGCTCCGACACCATCCAGCCGTGGCCCGTTCGCACGTGGCCATGTTATTGATGCTGCTGACGAAAGGAAGCTGAGGTGCATCCTTGTAATTCCCTGGCAAGAGGCAGCTTGCTTGCACACAGACCTGGCTTGAGACATCACATCTCCATGAAGTTTGCTAGCAGCTTCTTCCATTAATCACCCTGGGCTGTCAGGCTGCAAAGGATGTTAGCACAGGAGCCTTTTCAGATAGCTTGTCAGCTGCCGGTGTCAAGACCATGTCCACATTTCAGCTGGACAAAACCGTGGTGGCCAGGACACCTCCCTTGAAACCCTCCTGCAGGCCTTGGACACAGGTTCTGGCTGCCCCTCCCCCACGTTGTTTCTCCAGCTCTCTGGCTCATAGCAGCGGGCTCAGCTGGAATAACAACACCATTCCCTGTTTTGCTGATGCTTCCTCTGCTAATTCACTTGGCTTGCATTGACGCACGGAGAGCCCTCGGGTGCATAATCCCAGAGGATATGACATATGAATGAACATCATCGCTCTGGGGCCCACTGAGACGCAGAGTGGACCAGATAAGCCACTTTCAGACAGCTTTGACAATTGGGAGAAAACTCGCAGACGGAGAACTCTACGTGAGGGCCACAGACTCGTAAATAATACGGGATCTAGAGTCGGACAAATGCCAGCTCTGCAAATTGCTCGCTGGGCCACTTTAGACAACTTACCTGGCTCTTCTAAGCTAGCTCCAGAGGCACCTGCACAAGGAGCTAGGGAGGCCGACCAGGCGAAATCTACGCCATGCAACTCTCCACCACTCCCCAAGTTTCTTCTCTCCCTCTCTGGTTCATACCATTTGTGTCTGTGCATGATAAGAGTACTTCACCTAAGATCTACCCTCCTAGTAACATTTAAGTACGCAGTGCAGAGTTGTCAGCTCCAGGCACCGCACTGTACCGATATACGCTGTACCGATATACGATATACAAGGAGGCCTCTCGGGCCTATTTATCCACAAAACTGCCCTCCTCCACATCATCAACGACCACGCTTCCACTCTCCTTTACGAGTGGACTGTTTTAGATTTGTCATTAAGATGGTATCATGCATCACGTAGTATCTGACCACTCACGGGCATGTACTTATTTCTAATTTCACCAAGTTGTACACGTTAACTAGCACAACTTCTTATGTGTCAGAAAAAGAAAAAAAAAAAAAAAGAAAAAGAATGTTGAATTTGGGGACCAGCAGGTGGTGTGGTGGTTAAAGCACTGGACTCCCACATGGCCAACCACGGTTTGAATCCCGGACATGGTGGCTTCCTTCCTCACTTTCTCTCTCTCTCTCTTCTCTCTCTCCCATACAAATTTTAAAATTATAACACTAAACAATTTTAAAAGACTATCGAATTTGAAAAGAAAAAATTTGTGAAAATAAATGTAAACAGGTTGAAATGGACCATAAAGTGAAGTCCACCAGCCAGCCCCAGGCTTAACTCAGTGCACAGACAGGTACTCAAAATATAGGTTTCCTTTTCCCTTTGGTCCCACTCTTTTTAGATGTCAAAGACATCAGTCATGTTTCCAAGAGGCTGAGACATGGGTCAAAGCTCTAGCAGCTCAGCCCTGCTTCTCCAGGTTACAGAACTGCTGGACTGGATGACACGGTGGTCTCCAATGTGTTTTCTAGCACTAACAGCCCTTTGTTCTAAAACCCAGGGTGTGGCCAAGGTCAGAGAAGGTCAGAACCCACATGTAAAAGCTAAAGTTCTCCATAGGGCCTAGAGAAGAGTTTGTATTCAAAATCCCTGGGCGTGGATTTCTAAAACCCGGGGTGTGGCCAAGGTCAGAGAAGGTCAGAGAAGGTCAGAACCCTCATGTAAAAGCTAAAGTTCTCCATAGGGCCTAGAGAAGAGTTTGTATTCAAAATCCCTGGGCGTGGATTTGCAAGCTGCCTGCACTGGAATTGCTGCCTTCTGTCGGCGGGATGGCTTGCGACACTTACATTAAACTCACTACACATAGCCGTACAACGTATCATTTCCATTTCGCATGTCATGAGCTGTAAGTCTGGGGGGCCTTTTGAGGCCTTAACCAAAGATGGAGATGTCAGGGAAGAGGCCATATGTTTAAAGTGTCAAGAGAGAGCTCTCAGGCCCCAGGTGAATGATTGGCTCCTGGCCGGCTGATTGACTGTTAATTTCTGCAGAATCTCAGGCAACTTGAAAGGGTGCCAACTGCTAACCACAGGGCTCCAGGCTGCAGCTGCACAGTGGCTTCATAGCAGGACTTGCTGCCTCCTAGAGGCATGGGGTAGGGGACAGCAAGGACGGGGGATGCTCATAAGCTGTTGTCAAGTCCCCTGCTTGCAGTGGCCCTGTGACTGGGCAAGTTGTCAAGCCTCCTTCGGATGGAGGTTGTGCTCTGTCCGTGGTCTCCTGGTTACTAACACATCGCTGTTCTACTGTTCTGTGCCACTGTCCCAGCCACAGAACAGGTCTCACAAATATTTACACTCCTTCTGTGTTGCGATGCTCAATTAATTGCTCCTGTGACGCACTTGGAGAGCCCCGGAGGAAAGGTGTAATGCGAGGGCCGGGGATTATTAAGGCACAAACAACTCGGCTCAGGGAAGCAGCGTCGGCTGGAGCTTTCCATTGCCGCTGGGCCTTTGAGATCATTGCCCAAAATCTAGGAAAAAGGCGCTCGCAAAAGCTTGCACGTCCAAATGGGAATACTGTGACAGTGCAAAGGCCTTGCTGGAAAATGGAAAAACACACGGACAGAAAAACTAACCAAGAAGAAATGCAAATGCTCAAAACCATTTGAAACAATAATAATAATTCAACCTCACTAGTCATCCACAAAGTAAAATAGATAAAACAAGAAATCAAGTGCCAAGTAGGCCAAGTGTTTTTAAAATAAGAACGTAGGGAGAGGAGATACAGTGAGACAGTCACTGCACGGTCTATGGGTGAGAATGTAAGTGAATATAAGCCGACATAACCCACCCGGAAACCCACTCACACACCACAAGGGACTAAGAGTGTCCTCACTACTGACCCTTTCATGGCAATTAATAAAATACCTTTATAGACGGGGTCGCCAGGTGGCATGGTGGTTAAGGGCACTGGACTCCCACATGGCTGACCACAGTTCAAGTCCCAGGCCCGGTGGCTTGCTTTTTCACTTTCTCTCTCACTCTCTCACTCTATCCTTCTCTGGTCAAATGAAAATAAATAAATAAATGGATAAAGTTTAAAAATATTTTTAAAAATACCTTCATGGAAATATTCAGAGATGAGATTGGGACCCGCAGTTAGCATAATGGCTATGTCGCTGGACTCCCGTGTAGTCGACCATGGTTCGAGTCCTGGGCCCAGTGGCTTAAACTCACACCGGGCACGTGTGCGTGCGTGCCCAAGGTCCTGAGAGAGAAGAATGGAGGAGAAGGGATTGCGGCGTGGCCATACTCCCAGGGGGGTGGTTTCTCACTTTCTGTCTCTCTGTCTCTCTCTGTCTTTCGGGTGAGCACATGCACCCTATAGCAAAAACTTTTCAAAAAAAAAATTTAGAGATGAGATTAAAAATGTAAGCGTGGACTAGGGGGTAGGAGGGAGGGGATTGGGGAAACAAACAAAATATTTAATGAAAAGGTATCTGTTGGTGATAAGGTGTATGTTAATGTCTCTGACCTGACTAATATGTACCATATTCATGCTGGGAAAACCATGTTGTGCACTGTTAAGATGTATAGTGATTACATGTAAATAAAAATACTTTTTTTAAATGTAAGAATGGGTGCATATTTACAATAACCAAAACTAGCAGGAACCTAAATGCCCCTCCAAAATGTCATACAGCCAATAAGTAACATGTTTTTGCAAAGCATTTAAAGGTAAGAATATTTTGGCAACATCAGGACCCTACATATCCTGTCATATCATTTTGATAGGTGTATGTGCTTACTTACCTGTATGAAACATCTTCATGCACACGGGTACATGAGAGTCACCAAAATCCCATCTGTGCTGTTGCTTTATATTTCTTTCTCCATGTCTTCTTGTTTTCTGTGTATCGTATAGTATTATGTTGCTTCAGGCTGTAATAACACACACGTGATAACATCCCGTAGGTTGGCTGGTGAACTGGCCTTGGCTCACAGCTCCTCTGCGGGAGATGGGTAAGTCCTGGGCAACTGGCACTCACACTGTTCTCTTTATGCCCTAGGTCATGGCCTCACCTCAACAGTGCCACAGGTGAGTCAGGGGCCCCTGGCCATCTGGATGGGGGGATGTCAGCATGGGACAATGGGATGTCCTTTCCATTTTCTTTCCAGTAAGCTACTGGTTTATTGGAAGTGGCATTAGCTACTTGCAGTCTTTCCCCCTAGTTCCTCTCAGGCCTGTCCGTGACTCACAAGCTCTGGAAGCTGGCAGGTCAGGAGGGAAGCCAGGTCTCCACACAGGAGCTGTGCAGGGTTGGGAGAAGCACAGGTCTGTGCGCCTGAGGGTCTTCATCTGGGAAATGGTGTACGGCTGCCTTCAACGCCAGCAGCATGGCTATCCGTGAGTGTTCATTGAACTGAGCTCTGTATGACAGGTCCCCCCAAATACACAGGCAGAGCCAAAAATGGCTCAAAAACTACGTTTTATGCTTCTCCTGTAGCTCGCCTCAGAGCTGCTTCCTGGGGCTAGCATCGAATAGGACTCCGTTAAAGTCTGAGTGAAAGTAGAAGGTTGGAACCTTCTAAATAATAACCTTCCAAAATGATGGAAGGTTATTATTTCAGGAAACATCTCATAGAACTTCTCTAGAAAGCTGGTGGCTAGATGTGATGACGGGAATAGACAGAAAAATGAAGGAAGGGTGCTCAAGGGAGAGATTATATCATGGGGATCCGTGCCGTCAGTGAACGAATGTGAAGGTTCATTATGGAGCATGTCGGAGTGTGCAGCGGGCACCCAGCACGCCCCACACAGCAGTGAGCAGAGTTGAGCAAAGGCAAATCCTGAGGTATGAGTTCAAATAGGGAATGAGCACCCCACTCTAACCGAAAAATCAAAAAATCTAGCATTCCTCTTAGAAAGACTCTTTTTTTAGAACTTCCCAGTCAGGTCGAAAAATGCGCTCTCTCAAGATAGATTCTTTCCAATTGTACTGGAATCTTCGGTCTCAAATATACCCCCCTCCACCACCTTGCCCCCTCTCATCCCGTTCGTTATCAATGAAATCTCCGGGGAAATTGCAGAGGATTGTAGGAGGGAGGGTGCCTGGGAAGGGCGGTGCTTATCTGAAAAGGTGGCTGCTGAGTTATAAGCCATCTGGGTAAAACGGAGGCCAGCTCTAGCTACCTGTAGCCCTCTCCCTTCTGTCTTGCTCCCCATTTTCGTAAAGACAATAAAAAACCGGCAGGCATATTTCATTTCACTACTACATTGTAGAGAAAGAAACAGTGGGAAAAAGAACCAAAACCTCCAGAAAGTCCATTAAAACGAAGTCACTCAGGTCTGCACACACACATTTGAATCCCTACTTTGCCAAAAACACTTTGCGAATCAGCACACCCAGCCTATGCACATTCATAAACCCCTGCAAACGCTTACCAAAACAAAATAGGCCCGCTATAATTAAGAATGTGCATGAGGATTTGCATAGAGAGTGCTCATAACAGTGATATTTTTAACTTTCCTAAATTCTTCAAGTTATTAGAATTATTTTACCACAGGATGAGTTGAAAAACTAATGCTATAAAAAAATAGTACGTGACCCTTAAAATGATGACATTGACACATATTCTTGGCATTGATAAGTTGATAACGTGTTATTCTGTGTAAAAGCAGGCAAGAAAGCAGTGTATGGAACTTGATCATGTATGCACAAACTATTACATGTGTGTTTGAGAGAGGGAGAATGTTTGGGCTATAATCACATGTTTTTATAGTATAGTAATTTATTCTCTTTCTTGCACACCTGCATCTTATAATTTTTCCATAGTAGTGTATATTTTTGTATATTAAAGTCAATCTTTCAAAAATAAATTATTTTTTTTAATTCCCCAAGGCTGAAAAAGACAGACAATATTCAGACTTGCACAACTTGTCAATGTCAATACCTTCTTGGAGACTCATACGTAGAGAACGGTGCTGTTTTCCTATGAATAAACTCTAACTCACGAGTTTTTCTTCTGCTGCTGTCTTAAGTCAACCATACACAATACAAACTCTAATAAAGATAGGCACGGGTTGATTTGATTAAACAGACAATAAATTTTATTTTGTCCAGGAGTACTTGATTTTTTGTTTAAGTCTTCTAAAGAAAGCAGTCTGGAAGGTTGATTTCCCTCTCCCTACCCCCACTTTTACAAGAAAAATAAGGAAAGATTTTAGCATTAGGAGGAAAGGCAGGTACAGAATATGTGAGCATCCAATGCCCCCTACTGGAAAATACTGGGTATTGCAGCGCCTGTATTGAGCAGAGGCTAGAGTCAGCCTGATTCTCTCTCCTCAAGACTCTCTGAATATTGGCAGACAGAAACAAATCAAAAAGCGGACAGTTGAATTGCCAGGACAAGGTGTTCACCCAGTTTTTGTAAACACAAGCCAGGATTTCACATCATCCCCAAACTGGTAACCCAAAGATTAACAATTGTGTTCAAAAATTCGGTGTGAATCAGGTGCACAGAATTAATGCATATTCTCAAGCTTACCCTCAGTTTTATGGTTTGGCAGGCCTACAGCAGGCAGGAAATTCTTACCTTTAACAAGAGCATTCCAATTCAGCTAGTTCTAGAATGTTCTTTTGAGAATCACTGGCTGAGGCAAAAGAGGAAAAGAAAACTATCAAGACTGCCCCCAGCAAGAAGTTGCTGTCACTTCTCCAGACAACTCTCAGTATATTTCATTTAGGTTTCTGAAAAGCCCTCGGGAAGGGCATGGGAAGCCCTGCCTTATCTGTCGCCATTCACCCACTCGCCCATCCACTGATTTAACCAGGTCTTGGAGTTCCATCGTGTGGCAAATACTAGAACCAGTTTTGTTCACAGGTTCTTTTTTTTTTAAGAAAACGAAACTAAAACGTTCTATTTAAGGCACTGTCCTAGTCTGAGGCTCTAGTTCCCTATTGACCAGGTGAGGAAATTAAGAGCTAGAGAAGGGAAGTGAATTTCAAAGGGCTGCAGGGAGAACAATTAGGCCTATTTGTTAGACTCCCGGTGAATGTTTCTGTGTAGCTATTTCTGTGAGTATGGACTATTTGTAATTTGGAATTCCTGGCTCCTAATGTTCAGGTCGGCAAAGAAAGCCGAAATGCCCCAGAATTGGAGCCGGATGGCTGTGTGTCTCTGTGTCTGTCTGTCTCTCCCTCTTGTTATATGTATGTATATATATATATACACACACACAAACACACACACACACACACATATGTGTATCTGTATTCTGTATCTATCTCTACCCCCACTTCTGCTCTCCTTCCCCTTTCCTTTCTCTTGCTTCTCTCCAAGTGTGTGCCATGTCGTTGAAGCTCATTGGATGTCGGTCCCTCACTCGGAGGGAGTGAGAAGGAATGTAAAGCAGCTCACTCCTGCCTTTACCCAGACAGACCCGTGCCAAACTGTCGATGTTCTAAACTTCGCAATCTTCCAGGGAAA